TAAACTTTTAACATCCTTTACCAAGGATACTTGTTGTTAAAGGTGTTAAGATGGCTAATTGACTTGTTCTTAATGATTGCTTTCATGATATTCAACCGAAGAAGTTTGATGTTTGAATTGTGTTTGCAAATGAACATTCATCTAGACATAGAGTTTGTTTAGAATTGTGTCTAGGCCTAAGGTAGATAGATTAATTGATTGCTTGCCACTCTTAGTTCGAAAACTGATCATCCAAGGTCATAATTCCCTATTCCCATGGATTCTCCCGTCTCTTAATTGTTAAAGTTTATTCTGTCGTTGCATTCTTTACCCTTTTCAATATTAGTTGTAATTCAAAACCAATCAACCATATGATTGCACTTAGATTAAGCTAGTACTTGCATTCTCGGTGCTTTTAATTCTCTCAGAACTGGTTCGACAATCTTTTATACTACATCATTTGTCTTAGGAGCCTTGAAACTCCTAACATCAATTATACTAATCATGTGATGATGATATAACAATAGGGATGCTGAAAACTTAATCATGTCATTTGATAATTTGGATTTGAGATGGTTAATTGGTGAATAGAGTGTCGTTCAGGTTCGGATTGGGTATTTAAGATTTTCGGATATTTCGGTATAGAGATATAGAATCCATTCAAATATTTATATACTTCTAGTCAGTTTGGGTATTTGTAGTCCGGATCCGATTAATTCGAATCGGGTTCGAGTATTTCAAGTTACTTAACAACTCTTGAATCAAAACAAAACAAAAACAGAATCAAATAGTAATGTGTAAGTTGTAAGATAAAAAGAATTAATATTAAACAAACAACAACAAAATAAGTTGTCAACCAAAGAATATGACATCAAATACCCAAAGGTGAAAAGTATTATTTAATCAAAACAACCTTAGAAAAAGAGTGTATTCTTCAGTAAAATCAAAAATTATGGAGAAATTAAAGATGAACCATTAAATCCACAGCAGAGACCGGGTATTACCTATGAATATATATATATATATATATATATGGATAGTTTGGGTATTACTCATACAGGTTCGGATATCTATTCTCCTCTAATTAAATACATGTTTGGATATTTATATAAATCGGTTTAAATTCATGTTTGGATATTTATATAAATCGGTTTAAAAATACCCAGTCTTATATACGTATTTTTGCTATTAGTGCAGTGAGTAAGAAATTACAGTCTTGATTTATGTGCCTTGATAATGCTTTAAAACACTTTAAAATGTGTTCTGTTTTTGAGAAGTATAGATATGAAATTGGAAAGCTTACTTCTAGTTTGAGTATAGCTCAAAGCATTTGATTTTTTCAATTCGTTCTGAGTTTTTATTTTGAAATCTGACAATTCCTTTTGAAATTATTATTTTGATTTTTTTTTTTTTTTTGGAAAAAGATAAATTCATCCCAAAATCAGATCCCTCATATCTAAATGTAGATTAGTTAAACTTTAGAATATAAGTATTATTTTTTTAATAATACATTTTCGGTCACTTGGACCATTTATATTAATCTATAAAAATTATTATTTTAAGTAATTTCTCTAAAATTTGGGGAAAAGTCGGAAAACAAATGGTCGCCAGTAAAAGCTAGGAAGAAGAAGGAGAAGCACAACACTCTGGATTTTACGGTTTTAGTGATACATTTATATGACAAACTACAAAATCTTTATTTTATTTTGCATTTGATTTTGCGAAACATTGTTATATAGAATTTTGATAGTAGTAACACTTTTGCAAGTTGCATGTTTTATATGTTAAAAGGGTCTATTTCAAAATTTTATCTCAGGGTTTATCAAATGTTTGAGCCTGCCCTGTCCGTTATTTATAGTCCCCAGTAATCTAGTGACGTCTTCTTGAAACAACACTCTCTCCCTTTTCTTCCATTGTTCCCTTCTCTGTATTCTGTTATCGAACTTCACAGATTCTCGGTGTAACAATCCCACGAGAATTTTTATCAAAAAAAAAACAATCCCACGAGAAAATTCACAGTAGGTCCCACCCTATTCTTGCCTGACTTTTCAACATTAAACAACTAACCACAAAGTGTTCCAAAAAAAAAAAAAAAAAAAAAAAACAACTAACCACACAAAAAATCATATCTCTTGTTTCTTTCTTTCTCATTAATATTTCTTCTTACAATTCTCCATTGACATACTAAACCTCACGACGAGTCAAGGAACACGACCATAGACTTATCAAGTTTTGTAGCATTTTATTAAAAAATATGCACAGACTATTCTAGTGACATTCATATGACCTCTCTTCATCTATCTTTCTCCCCTACCTCATATAAGCTTTTCTCATGGTTTCGTTCTTCATCGTCCTCTTTTCCTTCTTCTTCCTCAGCATCCCTGTCTCTACCACCGATACGATTTCCGCTGACTCCACTCTCTACGGAGACCAGACAATCTTCTCCTCCGGCGGAACTTTCAAAATGGGTTTCTTCCAACCAGGTAACTCTAAAAACTTCTACATAGGTATGTGGTACCAACAACTTCCTGTACAAACAGTCGTCTGGGTAGCTAACCGTGACAAACCAGTCTCCGACAAGAACACAGCAGTTCTCAAAATCTCCAACGGTAACTTAGTTCTACTCGAAGGAAACAACCGGACTCCGGTTTGGTCCACGGGTCTCAACTCTTCCTCTGCTGCTTATTGAATCACAATTAAGCTTAATAAGAATAACTCTCTTATTAATCTCTTGAGGAAACTAACTCAAAACCTCAAGCTCTCTCAATCTCACAATTCATAATCTCTCACACAATATCTCAACTCTTAAGTTATGCAACATCATATGCATCTCCTTATATATAACTCAATATTTCATAAACTCATTAGGAATCACAAATAGATATTTTCCTATTCTATAGCTCAATAGAATTAGGTAACTTGCATCCCAAGTTATTTATCAAATTTCCTTTTTTCTTCAAGCTTAATCCAACATCTACTCTATTAAAATAGAGTCATTCTTTTTATCTACCGATACAAGTTGTCATTTAAATTTGGACTCTTTCTAGAATGTTACAAATAATATAAGTCATATAATTGATTGAACCGTACGTATTAATGTAAAAAGACGACCTTAATGTAAACTACCTTCAAAATACGGCAGATATCTATGTGTATACCAAAAACACATATTTTCTCCTACAAATATGGAATGTTCTAAAAGAATATATATCATCAAAATATGGAATATGGAAATCTACTAATTATACTTAAATTAAACCAGTGGTTATTTATGGAATATAGTTTTGGGCTTACTTTTATTTTTTGAACAAATTATATAGTTTGGTTTTTGCGCTTAGTATTAAGAAAAAACTCCAAAAACATTTAATAAACTTTTCACCTTAAAAGATCAAAAAATCAATTATTATTTTCAGACCCAAAAGGTATTTAATATTTTTAACTAAACAAAATTATCTATTATTAATCATTTATTTAAATCATGTACTTTAAAACATGTTAATATATTTTTTTATTTTAAATAACAATCACTTTGTTTTGATAAATTTCAATGGTAACTTTTAAATAATTTATTGTTTTATTTTTCTTAAATAATTTACTGATTAAAAAAATGTAAAGCAAAACCAAAAACCAAATCTAAAAACTAAAATCCAAAACCAAAAGCTGAAANCTTTGTTTTGATAAATTTCAATGGTAACTTTTAAATAATTTATTGTTTTATTTTTCTTAAATAATTTACTGATTAAAAAAATGTAAAGCAAAACCAAAAACCAAATCTAAAAACTAAAATCCAAAACCAAAAGCTGAAAACACATATTATATTTTTTTGCTTTGTTTATTTACAAAATAAACTATTTCAATTTTTTTTTAAAAAAATTGTTTTCATCTTTTCAGTTTTAAATTAGATGTTCGATTATTTGAGATTTGTCTGTTGGTAATATTTGTTCAAACTAACTCAGCGGGTTTAAAAATTAAAAACTCAAACCAAAAACTGAAATTGAAAAGTAGAAACTTAAAAACTAAAAACCAAAATCCAAAATCTAAAAGTAAAAACTGAAACTAAAAACTAATGAAAAACAATCATCACCACAAATTTTGGTAAACTGATTTTATATCAAAATATTATTTAAATTATAACAAAACCCAATTATATAAATTTTTAATTATAAAAAATTTCCGCGCTTTTAAGCGCGGGTCAAAATCTAGTTCACCCCCTTAAACTTGAACTCCATTTTCGATAAGCCTTGAACTCCAATAAGCTCCCTGTTTCTTTGTGCTCAACTTCACTCAATCCAATTTTAACACATTCTCTTATGTCGACTTTCTCACATAATGTTGTATAGATTTTTCCAAGCATATCCCGCAACAAGATAGCTTCCCTTGCAGCTTCAGTACTCACCACGCTCTTGCCATTATCCGGGTCAACTCCATCATTATCTCCAACAATTGGTATCCTAGAAGTTGCACTTAATTTCATTATAGTAACAAACACACTGGCGGTTTTGTCGTCGAGCTCATCGAGCAGTTTCTGCAAGTTGAAGAATTTATATGATTCTTTTATCATAAACACGTGCTAATCAGTAAAATCTGTGGCCTTTCCTGCAACACCAATGGTGACAACAACATGGTTCCTCAAATACTTCCTAGCCATCCGTTCTTCACCAGGATGCATTGTAGCACTGGACGTGGTTCTATAAATCTTCTTCTCATCAATTTCTTCTTCCTCGTTCTTGGGTTTCAAGGTACTCGATGACATCGTATCTAACACATCTGCAACATGGAACTCGAAACCCATGTCTCTCATCCGATCTGCCTCATTAAGAACCACGTAGTTACACTGGTTCAACACAGCATACCGCCTCTTACGGTAATTGTTCAAACGACCGAGAATAACAATCACAATCTCACACCCGTGTGTTATCTTCAACGCCAGTTCCTGAATAAACTGACCACCAACCATGGAAATCACTCTAAAGCCTAAAAACTGAGAAAACTGAACAGTTTCCTCAATCTGGTGAGAAATCTCCTTAGTAGGTGCCATAACAATAGCATAAGAACCCGCGGTTTCATTCTCTTCACTCGGACACGGCAATCTAGATACTGAGCTAACAAGGGAAAAACAACACCAGCAGTTTCTACACAACCAGTCTCTGCAATGTCGGAAACATCATGTTGTTGGTGTCCAAGTGGTATAGCTGCCATCTGAATAGGAGAAAACGTCTTGTATTCATCTCTCTTCACAGCCTTCAAAAACTCAGAAGTTAGCTTCTTCACTCGCAAGTCTGCTGTTTTCTCCATTAGAACAATTTGAGCTCTCAGCTGTTCTGCTGGCTGTAGACACTCTTCTACCTTAGCCAAAATACGTTCATCTTTCAATAGCTTTCTCTCAACAAAAACAAATTTCCTTTCCAGCTTCCTGACAAGATTTTCATGCCTCAGTTTCTCAACCTCGTGTTTCTTTTCTTCTGCATGATGACCTCTCATTAGATCAGTTATTTTGTTGTAATTTCTAACAAAGAAGCTGACTCCATTGGAAGGAACATCTTTCTTCTCTAATTCTCTCTGTAGCTTTCCCAACTCTCTCTCAATGTTACTGATTAAACATACACAGTAGTAACAGGGGTAGGAACACATGTAGAAGTGATGATCCCACAGAGCACTTCCATCAACAACTTCGAACTTGTTGAATCTCATGCAGTTTAAATCCACTCTTTCTCCTAACTCCAAGATCTTCTTCTTGAAGATGTCAACTACAAGGTAGCTATTTCGTCCGAAACGAATTATGTCGCCGATTTTATCTTCTTCCTTTTCTATGTTAGAAACTGTTCTAACTTTCTCAGAACATCTCACTTTAGACATAGAGGGTACTTTCGGTTTGACTTTGTATAAAATTTCACCAGTATCTGTTTGGAATGTTTTGATCGTAACTCTCGTTTCTTGTTCGGCAAGTATCTTAAATCTCTCGAACTTATCTAATGCTTCACTCTTCTTCTTGTATAATCGATTTCTGGACCTGGGTTTCTTGACAAATAATCGCCCTAAACATTCATACACCATCAGTAGATCATCTTTAATTTGTACTTCACATCCAGCTTCTATTTCTTGGCTGAGACCCACGATGTTGCTTTTTAACCAACGTATGCAGTACATATTGTTCAAGATCGCCTTCCTCCTACCTTTGAACACAAACCACATTGAACCCTTTCTGATTATATCAAAACATGAATCATCTGTAAATCGCACTTCTCCCGTGGTTTTTCCATCAAGACACAGAAAGAATTCATTTCCTCTCATATCATTTCTCGCACCATCATCAAGACACCATACATTCTTTGTGTCTAGACCAGCTTCAAAACTGATATGCTTCCCCTTTTGCTCGTTTAGATACACCACCTTGTGCATCTTCAACTCCCCGGCTTCTAGAGCTTTTTCATCCTCTTGCTCAAAGGTTTCTTGGAGCTTAAACAATTTGTTAGGACAAGCTGATGCATAATGTCTGATCCTACCACATCGATAACACTGAATGTGAGAAGTATCTCTCTCTTTATCACATCCTTGCTTGTACGAACCGTTCGGACTACTGGGTCGTCCACGGCCTTTTCCTCTCCAGTTATAGCGATATTCTCGCTCTCTTCTTCTGCTACCAACGTAGTTCTCTTGATGTGTTTGTTGCGTGTCCATGTTAGCGTAGATTAATTTTCTTTGTTCATCTTGTTGTTCGTCCTCATCATCACCGTTTTTCTCTTCATAAGCGTCGAAAATTTCACTAGGATTACTACTGTTGCTCATGATTGTTTTCTTCTTTTGTCCACAAGCCGAACAAATCATATCCATAAGGTTCAATAAATCAGAGAGAGTAACTGCATTCTTATTCTCCTCTCTCTTGATCTCTGCATTAGTCTGATTTCCTTTATCTTTCTTCTCTCTCGTGGGGTCCAGAGGACAGTCTATATCTTCTAGATCAATGATGAAGTTACTAGTAATCGCTAGCAACATCTTCTTGAGTTCCTTATCTGTCCCTGGAGGTTCATACAACACGTAACCCTTCTTCCAAGCTTGCACTATCCTTTTATAATACTCTTCACCGTCTTTAAACGTTACAAGACCTCTCGTAATCACACCCTTCTTCTTAGGGTCCACGGCCATTACGTCAAATTTTACAACAAGCTCAAATTCAATGCTACTCCATAGATTTATCGTATGCATCTTCCAATCAGAATTAGAGTTGTATATCAAGTGCTTAGCCTTCTTCAAGTCAGTCTCTAGATCCTCCTTTTGTATCTTCTTATTTTCCAGATCATAATCATCACCAAGCTTTCTCTTTCCCGTGTCTTTCTTAACACCATCATCATCACTGTTGATGAGTGCTGTCTCATGGTTTTGATTTTCTTCATTACCTTTGGAGTCTTCGGTATTTACTATATCATCTCCACCAGATACCTTCTTGTTCTTCTTCTTCTTTATAGACGTGCGGTGTGCAAGGATTCTCTGAACGGCAACCTTACTCGTAGCCGTCATAACCATTATAATTGGCCATGATGTTTTCTCAAGTTCGAATTTAGGTTTTGGATAAGAAAACCTTATTAAAGATCCAGTATCGAACCTGTAGCTCTGATACCACATATTGAATCACAATTAAGCTTAATAAGAATAACTCTCTTATTAATCTCTTGAAGAAACTAACTCAAAACCTCAAGCTCTCTCAATCTCACAATTCATAATCTCTCACACAATATCTCAACTCTTAAGTTATGCAACATCATATGCATCTCCTTATATATAACTCAATATTTCCTAAACTCATTAGGAATCACAAATAAATATTTTCCTATTCTATAGCTCAATAGAATTAGGTAACTTGCATCCCAAGTTATTTATCAAATTTCCTTTTTTCTTCAAGCTTAATCTAACACTCCTCTCGATGCGGTCTTGCAAGATGACGGTAATCTTGTTCTCAGAGACGACTCAGGCTCTGTTTTATGGCAAAGCTTCGATCACCTCGGTGACACGTGGCTTCCAGGAGCCAAATCTAGTACGACAAACGAACCAAGAAAAGTCAACGACTCACGTCGTGGACGAGTCTTGAAGACCCAACAGCAGGCTTGTTCTCTCTCGAGTTAGACGAGTCAACAGCTTACAAAATCCTCTGGAACGGGTCAACTCAGTACTGGTCAAGTCAGGGCCGACCCTGACCTAAATCCCGTAAAGCAAGGGCTTTAGGCGCCAGTGCCTATAAACAATTTATGGGCACCAAATAATATGAGTGCTTTATAGTATAGTGGTCTGTTGATCTATTTTTTTGCCCACAGGTGGTAAGTTCGAGACTTACTTCTGTGTTTTGACTTTTTTTTTTCTTTTTCCTTTTCTTTCCTTTTATTCCTTGTCTTTTGATAATGATAACAATAATTATAGTATTATTCTTTTCCATCCAATATACGGATCAATTTGTTCAAAGGATCTTTGTTTATTCCTTTTTTTTAGATTTTAACTATTATTTGTTCGTTTTATTAATACAACATTATTTATTTATAAATTATTTTTGCCTTCATCTTTTATTGATTGATTGTTGCTCTCTCTTGTAAATTTTATCTTCAATTTTCTACGACTGTTATATTTTTAAAAAATTTAAATATTTGACGATAAAAAATTCTTAAAATCTAAACAAACATTAAATTATTCTAAATTAGGTTTGTTTTTTCTAAATAAATCAATTAAAATTTTCAAGTTGATAAATGATTGCTAACCAAATACATATATAAAAAAATAGACATATAATAGTTCCATCTTTAGTTACTGCTTGTGAGCCTCATAAAATAACTATGTTCAAGTATGAAGTATGTATCATATACAACAAAAGGAGTTATTAATGATATCAAAATAATATGAAATGAATAAAAATGATAATTTGCATGATTTTGATTTCACATTTGAATATGCAAAAAAAAAAAATTATAATAGAGGCAGATTTTTTTTTGTTAGCTTTAGGCGCCATTGGGATCCGGACCGGCACTGGGTCAAGTGGTCCTTGGAACAATAAGAGCAAACTCTTCGATTCAGTTCCGGAGATGAGACTCAACTACATCTTCAACTACAGCTTTTTCTCCAACGCAACAGAATCATACTTCACTTACTCGATGTATGACCCTAGGAACATCTCACGACTCGTCATGGACGTTTCGGGACAGGTTAAGCAGTTATCTTGGTTAAATAACAACGACCAGTGGAACTTGTTTTGGTCTCAGCCTCGACAACAATGTCAAGTCTACGCATACTGTGGCTCCTTTGGGATTTGCAATGACAAATCTCAGCCTTTTTGCCAATGCCTTCATGGGTTTAGGCCCGACTCACAAAAAGATTGGGACTTGATGGATTATTCGGCAGGCTGTGTTGGAAAGACTGAGCTACAATGCTCTCGTGGAGTCATTAACCAGTTTATGCCTCTTACCAACGTGAAACTACCTGACAATTTTGAGGTATGGGGCATAACGAGTTTTAGTATTTGTGGATCGACTTGTCTAGGGAACTGTTCTTGTATGGCTTACGCACATGATGAAAGCTCGAATCGATGCTTGATGTGGACTAATGATGTCTTGAATCTTCACCAACTCGAAAAAGATAACAGTGAGGGGAATACACTTTATCTTAGACTCTCTGCTTCGGACATGCCTAATAGTTCTTCTTCCGGTAAGAGTAACAAAGCGATGATTTTTGGCACGGTTCTAGGCTCGTTAGGGGCGATAGCTCTTGTTCTGTTGGCGGTAATCATAATGTTAAGGTACTGTGAGACACATAAGTTCACTGCCATTATCAGATTGGAATGTAATACTCCTATCAAACTGTCTTTCAATGACCGAGAAAAACTGTTCAATTTTAATAGGTGCTTGTTGCTTGCTAGGTAACAGATATAGCCACAAGATACGAGAGTAGCATCGAGTATGGTTAAGAAGTATTGTGCACCACACAAAGCTGGTGTTCTATAGGGTCTCCATAAGTCACAATGATTGCAATAGTCTTATTCACACTGATCGGAAAAACATCTCGAGAATGCTTAGTGCGGATACAAACTTCGCACACTTTATTGTTTAAAACACCAGAAATAGTAAAACCGGAAACAGGCAGCTTGTCTAGAACTTTAAGAGATGGATGTCCTAGTCTCCTATGCTATACTTCTGGTGATAAGCGATCAATACAGCCAGCCATCAACGCCGCAGCCACATTCATGCTCCTAAAGAAGTACAGTCCTCTAAGATGCTCAACCACACCAATCAGGGTCTTCGTGATGCGGTCCTGGATAGTACAAAGCATATCAGACATCTGGATAATGTAGTAACTATCTCGAGTCAATTGTGAAACCGAAATCAAGTAACAATCTAAACCCTCAACCAAGAAAACATCCTGCAACTCAATTTGTGTTCCCATCGAAACAACACCTTTATGATTGGCCACTGTAAATCGGCCATCAGGATGCTTAATTCTTATAGGTTCCATATACTGGATGTCTGTAATTTATTCTCGAGACCCAGTCATATGGTTTCGTAGCACCGCTATCAAGTATCCAAGATTCAAAGAAAGACTTACCAGAGAGACAATTTGGTGGTGGTTGTATCCTCTCTTCCAGCATCGAGACCAGATTTTTTTCTATTGAGTCTCATTCAACCCGCTAAATCCCACTCGGTCTGCGTCTGTAATTGCAAAAGAGATCGATCCTTGGGTTCCTACTGCATTATCTTGAGCCATCTCGTTCCCTTTGTTATTCATTGGTGGTAAAGAACTTCCTTTATTTCCTTTATTATGAGGATGATATCCCCACCATGGAGGGTAACCTATCGGTCAGAAACAATGGTCTGAACCATGACCCGTACGACCACAATTGCCACAAACCATACTTCTATCATGTTCCTTGTAATATAAAGGATGTTAAACCAGTTCTAAGTGATTCTAAATCAAAGGGAATACAAGACCATGCTTAATCTAAGTGTTATCAATTGCTCAGATGATTTTTACTAAGAAACTACTAATAAATCAATAAAGATCAAAACTTTCTTTCTAAATGAGATGGAGAACTCATGGGTCAAGGGAAATGATCTTGGGTAATCAATATTCAATCTAAAGGTGGAATCTTTTCAATCAATCTATCAATCCTAGGCATAAACACAATCCTACACGAACTCTATCTCTTGATGAGTATTCATTTGCAAAGATAACTCAAGCATCTAATCTCTTAGGTTGAATACTATCTAAGCAATCATTAAAATCCAGTCTACTAGCCATCCTAACACATTTAACAACAAATATCTTTGGTAAATGATGTTAAAACCATTGGAGAGTTGGTTCAGGCATTTCATCATACACCTTACGGGCATTAAATACCTAAAGCTCTATTCTAGAGAGGCCAGCTCTAAAATAGCATTGAGATCACTCTACAAGCAAGGAACAAGATGAATCTATGCTTAAACACCTTTGGTCTAGATTAATCACCCTTTGATCTCCCTAACCCATGAATCATCCTTGAGTCTTCCTCTTGCGTTAACACATTGTAAACTTCATCAAGAGTTGGGAATGGTACTCGTGAAAGCATAGGATATCTCGTATGTATATAGACTTCATCAACTCTATGGAGAAACTCATGGACCCGATCCTCATCACGTTCTTTCTCAAGTCTACGCTGAGTTCACATGTGCAGGATCCACACTTGCATCGCTTCAAGGGACAAAATTCAGTCAACTTCGTCCATATCTTGTTCAAATACCCGAATTGAGCTTCAATAGACTGTCTTCTCTGTTGAGCCGTAGCAATCTCTATCTTGTACGCTGGATTTTCGATCCATTCTTCACAGAGAATCATTTTTGAATATGCTCCCACAGGCTTCGAGCAACATCGTGATGCGACTTGTACGTACGTTTGCATCAATCGTCAATGATATACCATGGCTTTGACCCACTTTTAACCATGGTATTTATATGAATTTACAATATATATATATATATATATATATATATATATATATATATATATGTTTTGGAGTCTATTATGTATGTTTTCAGGTTCAAGAGCATTTTGGAGTAAAGTGATGATTTAGGTGTCCTTATGGAGCTTAAAGGAGAGTTTTCCCAAGCTGACTATAAAGATCAGACAACAAGGTCGATATCCATAGAGACATATCGATCGATACACATTCTGTGCAATCGATTGACGACGCTTCCGTAGAAGATGACGAATTGAGATACTCCATCGATCGATGTACACCTTGTACCATCGATCGATATGAAGCGTGAAGAACAAGTTTGACTTGGCCGACTTGAAGCCCAAGTTCTCTCAATATTACAAGATTTCCCCTGATGAGTTTTTAACCTAATGGAACTCATATTTATAGTTATGCCTATGTGTTTTGGCTAGACATGCTTTTTACTTTTTTAAAGGTTTTTTGTGCTTCAAGTGTGCCTTTAGTGCATTTGATTGCTTCTATTCTAATACTCATAGTTCTTTGATTTATAAAACTATTCTTTTAATCTTATTCTTATTGTCATATAAGGTTATAGAATTCTAGATTTGGAAGAACACACAAAGAGATTTGTTGTTTAAAAGAACCAAGTCTTCAATCTTCTAATCTAATGAATTTCTATTATTACCTTGATACTATGAATCACTTAGCCATGTCTGAGTAGATTCACTTGTTAGATTTAGGTTTCAAATAGTTATGAGGGATTAGCCCCAACTATGGATTGTTGAGTTGTGATATTCATTATCCTGATGAACCCTAATGCTTACTCTAGAGTAGCTAACTAGAGTATGATCATGGAATTATTTAAATTGTTACTCATCATCCTGAAATCATCTGGTATAAGCTGAGATCCTCTTGGGACAAACGAGAGCCGGTCTATGATCTTGGTGAACACATATTTAATTCGAGCTGAAGCTATATCGATCGATACTCCTATAGAGTAATCGATTGACGACAACCCATATCGTCCGATATCGCTGTCAAAACATCAGTCGATATTGCCGGCAGTCAGATCAATGGACGAGTCTACATATTGATTGCTAATAGACTTATTTAAGTGTTGAAGTTCTTTAATATCTTGCAAGCAACTTATAAAGACATCTATAGCATTATAATCCTGATTATCTGAATAGCAACCTTGAATCTAACTACTTTCTTTTATTGTTTAAAACATATACCAATTCTCTTGAGCAACTCACCATTGCTCACAACTGCAATTTACTTTTAAACCTTAATCAACCTAGCATAATCACTTAGGATTATATCTTTTATGTTCCTTAGTTCTTTGTGGATTCGATCCCTAAGTACTACAACTGAACATCTTATTTGAGAGAGTAATTCACTCCTTAGGGTAATTTGAGTGATATCAAATTTGGCACCGTTGCCGGGGAACTAAGATCACCATTAGATTTAATATGATTAGGTCTAGGTTACTTGTTACTGCTTAATCATCTTCTGACACAAAAAAAAATTCTTGTCTTTTTCAGGTACATGCCCAGCAGTACTAGAAGCAACAAAAGCAACCAACTTGTGTACTCAGAAGACCCTCACAGTTATGGAACGTAGCATCCGCAGAGACTTACGTTCCGCATCGATCAACATCAACAACAGTTCGTCGACCGATACTCGCTTACCACAGTCGACCGAGACACCTTCTTCGTCAACCGATACTCGCACCTTTCCATCGATCGACATCAACAACCGTTCGTCGCCCGAAATCTTTCACCCGACATCGATCGATATACCTCATCTTACATCGACCGATATTTACCGGCGAGAGATGGTAGCGACCGTTATTCTCACTACTGATGAGAATGGAGATCAGCGTGATCAAGATGGTCACCTGCGTAACGCAATAGGTCAGAAGCTGAATGCTCAGAAGGAGATCATTCCCGAGCAAGAAACTGCACCTTCATACCTAATTCAACCTATAGAAGAAGCTAACAAAGCTAGAACTCTGGCTGACTACAACCGTCCGGATCAGTTCTATACCAACCGATCAGCCATCCGCCCTCCTGCTATTCAGAGAGGAAATTTTGAGCTCAAGCCGCAGTACTACACACTTGTAGGACAAATACCCTTTTGTGGGTTGTCCCATGAGCATCCCATGGACCATCTGGAGAGGTTCGAGGATCTCATAACCGTCATCAAAGCCAATGGAGTCCCTCAAGACTATCTTCTCTGCAAGCTTTTCAAATACTCTCTATCTGGAGAAGCTTTGCAGTGGCTGAGACAACTACCACCAGGTTCTTTCACAACCTGGAGCGACATCAAAAACGCGTTCCTGCGTAACTTCTTTGATGACTCACGCGCTGAAGAATGGAGGAGGAAAATTGCTACATTCACTCAAGATCTTGGAGAATCATTTAAAGACACATGGAACAGATTCAAATCCTACCAGCGAGATTGTCCACACCACGGATTCAATAAAGTGCAACTGCTCTGCACTTTCTACAGAGGCATCACCTTGAAGTATCAGATGGCTCTTGACACAGCTAGTGAACGCAATTTCACAACCAGGAATCCGCAAGAAGCTGTGAAGTTGATTGATAACCTAGCTTCAAGCAACAAC